AATAAACTATATTATACCTTTAACCATATACGATCCATTGTTAAAAACACAGAAAGCACCGCACTCCATAACAGTTGATCGATAACTATAGAAAGTGTTAACGAGTAACGAACGGTTACTTTTAACTAATTGGTGATCTCACCTTCGTTATTTCGTTAGCATGAAATTTGAACGTTAATCGACTTTATTTAGTGTTAATTGGACGTAGTTAAGCAAAAAGGATCCAATCCACAAAATTATCAAAAAATTAGATATTTGTACCAAACGGTTCCTAAACTCTAACCTCTTAGATCAGCAAAAAAAAATTGAACATATAAACATAAATAAATATGTCTGGAGTTACATGACATTATAAGTTTTGAAAATAAGACAAGAGTGGGAAACACTTTTAAACTTGAAAGTGACATATTATCTCGAACTTGACTGGATGTGCATTGGATCCTTTTTGTTTAACTACGTCCAACTGGACATAGTTACGCAAACAAGAACCAACCCACACCTCGAGTGAAATTGAGTTATGTGTTTAGGTAGAACACCAGATGTGACCTTTACCTGCTCACAAAATATCCTGGCAATGTACCAAGCCAAGACGCAGAAAATAAAAGTCCTCCAGGGTACCAACCCTAGATAAGAAATTTTTTAAAAGCTAAAAAGAACCATGCTGCTTAAATTTTAAATTTATTTTTTAAATATGCTAAATGGATTCATGTCACATGGTACCTGTAGATCTTTAGCGTTTTCATTACGAAAACTAGAACCAAGCCACATGGTTCTCGTTAACGAAATTAAAAAAAAAAATTCTATTTTTATTGCTAAAAGGAACCAAGATGCATTTAGTTCTATTTTGCAAATCAAATATAGCCCCTTATGAAATAACCAAGATGCTTAAGCCTTTATAGGTAATTATATTTTGTGAAAAGAGTGGGAGATAATAACGTACAAATATATAATTATTATAATGATAATATACACACATATAAAAGTGATTCGTCCTAATGATTGTGATTATTAAGAATGCACTGAACTACGGTTATGAATTTTCAAAAACAGCAACACCAAAAGTAACCTGGTAAATGTAACATATTCGTTTCTACTATAATTCATCTCATTCTATGAACTTCATTGATTTATTTTTTCTGCAGGTCTTCATTATTTACACATAGTCATCTGGCGTGTATAGTCTTTATTGCAATTGTAGAACACATTACATTCGACCAAAATCTGTATATTGACCTTCGCAAAAATAATACCAAAGTAGTAAATGCTTCACGCCGTCGTCAAGTCTCTCCTTTGCATGCTTAATAAGGCAGGAGCCCACTACCCGAGGACCCCTACTCGCTTCTCTTTGTACCTAAATATTGCAATGTCCTGAGTGGATGTCCATGTTGTTAACCGAAAGACAGCTTTGTCTTTTATAAAATACCATACATATACTTTTATATAATACATAACATTTTTGGGTAAGTTAGTATACGTAGAAGAGGTAAAGTTTTATGCAGGCTTCCGCTATGATTGTTTTTGTGGAGTGAGTTCCATGGGCTAATTTCGTGTCATTTTTGAGCTGCTTTTGCAAAAACTGAGCTGTTTGTAAGTGCTTAGTGTAAGCATCTTCAACCTGGGCTTCATAGTTGTAAGTGAAATAACGTGGCTTGGTGCGGTGGTTGAACTATCTAAGAAACACCTGTCTGATTTTTGCGTAGATAGAACTGTCTATACAGCCGATTTCATTTCATCGCTATATAATTTATAAATTTTAGGACACATCATATCACATCGTCGTTACAATTTGCTCGTCGATAGCGGAAGATACATGTGGGCAGTTTATGAGAAATGCTCCGCTTTCAGAAGCTAAGTCAAACACATGCCGTCTTATTACACTATTATTATGATAGCAGTAAGAAACAAGCCTCAACAAGAAAAGGCCCAGGTTGAAGATGCTTACACTAAGCACTTACAAAAACTCAGTGTTTACAAAACCAGCTCAAAGGTGACCCATCAAGATCCATTCTTCGAAACAGTCACATTCGACCTGCAAACAACTTTACCTCTCCTGCGTGTATACGCAGGAGAGGTAAAGTTCCGTAAAATTATACCATTCAAGTGCATTAATAACCCAAATGTATGCGAATTCAATTAAAAAATATATCAAATACGTGAATTTCTGAAATTCATAACTCCACTTTTATAGAGATTGACGCAATCGATAATATGTTATCGAGATGTCATTAACTGAAAAAAAGAAAGGCAAAGGCGTGGCTTGCATACAGCCGAAATCATTTTCATACTTAATATTATTGAATCAGAAATTTCTAGTTTTAGTACTTTATATTTAATTAATATTGCATTAGTGCATTATTTTTTGTCTACATTGAAACGAAAATTTCTTTTAATAGCGTAGTTGAGGCACCCACTTTTTTATGTTAATTATTGTTGTTGATTCAGATTTCCTCAAAACATTGAAGTAAGACAGAAATGGCTTATAATGCTAAAGAGAAAAGACTGGGTTCCGAAAAAGTCTTCAAAAATATGCAGCAAACACTTTGAGGAAAAATGCTTTTCCTTTATCCGGTATGTCTTACAATTAATGGTTTTTTTTTAAATCAGCGATTTGTTGTTGTTAGAGTTTTGTTCTGTTCCGAAATACGATACTCATATAGGATCACTTGTGTGTCCATCTGTTCGTCTGTCACAGCCAATTTACTCCAAACCTACTGGATCTATGGTTAACACCATAGATTTAGTATATAGATAATCACACAGTTAACACAGTATTTGTTTTTTTGTTTCTCTCACCGTATTTGTTTTATCACAGTATGTATTTGATATAAATGTGTATTAAATTACTGCCCTGATAAGCCGAAAAGCGCTATCTCAAACGGAGTAAGTTTTGAGAAAATCGACTACAAAACGTCGTACGATTGTAGGTATTTCCGCACCTTCAATAATAAATCTTTTTGAAGATGTTAAAACTTATTTATACGTATTTTTGACTAATAAATTTATTGACATTTCTGAATTATCCACAAATTGTACCATTATACATGTTTTGTGAGATACCACTATTTTGATTATAAAGAAAGTCGCCTTTATTAGTAATTTAAGGAAAAATTGAGATATAAAAATGCTTCTTAGTGGTTTTTTAAATGTTTTAAGTTAGATAGTGCTATTTCCATTATACAATGAGATGCGAAATTATTATAGCTATTGAATGGTATAAAAAAAACTAAAAGGGCGTATCTCAGAGATAGCGCCTTTCGGCTTAGCAGGGCAGAATGATTTTACGTTCTACGTTCTATACATTCGTTCTATGTGATTTTGTGTTATACTTTGTGAAGTGATTGTAAATGTTTTGTTTCTATTTGTATTCGTGCTGAATAAACATGTTATCTATCTATCTAATTGTGGGTTTCCTATCAACGGTACGTGTTGAGTACTCAATGCATAACCATGGAGCATGTAACCATTTCAAAATATCGGGAAAATAAATAGAACTCATACCATTGCAATCAGTGATTTTAGAACATTTGAAAGAAAAGTTTAAAAGTATTTTATAAATAGGCAATTATACTCGATTAATCATTGACTTACAAATAAATGGACGACGGGTCTAATACAAAAACCACGAAAAAAATGTCCCAAGTCAACCTATTTAAACGTAGTGACATGTAAAGGAATATGAAAAAGCTAAAACGTTGAATTTAAATTGTAATGTCATCGCAGTACTGTCTAATTTTGCGTGCTTCGCTGTCAATCGAACAAACGAAGACTAAAGCATGAATGACGCTCTGTATACGATTTTAACGCCCTATAAGTTCGGACACTTTTTAGCGCGGACCCGACGTCCATATAATTGTAAGTCAATGCAATTAATGAATTATTTGCTAATGCACAGGATAATTAAAATATAATTTATATTGTAATTTAAAATTGCACGTAATTTAAATAATGAAATGTTGTAACCTAGATTTAGAATAAGAATGACGTTATACAAGGCTTGTGAATTGTAGTACTGTATTTGCATGCAAATGATTGTACTTAAAGCAAATAAATGATTTGATTTGTTTTATACCGCACTAAGTACCGTTTAGTGAATAACAATGAAAGCCTTAATTAAAATACAGATTGCGACAAAATCTAACAAAAATCAAGTTCTTAGGATCAGGTACATATTAAAAAAAATGAGTATTTTTTATTTTTTATTGATCTAATTAGCGTACCTATATTTCGCACTGCTATTCCAATAGTGTTGTAACTCAAAATATGTGAAATTTAATATTATATTATTACTGAACGTAAAATTTGATTCTCTACACGTCAAAAAAACCGTCGTTAGGATATTGTAAGAAACAATCAAAAGATAATTATTAATACAAAGATCGAACACTCAGAAAAAAATCCTTCGATCCGGCCGGATTCGAACCAACGTTTTCTAGCATACCGTGTCAGACGCTATACCAACTAAGCCACGGAACGAACCAGCGGACCTCGCGAATTTTTCTATGTGCTTATTGTCGTGTCTTTGTATTTGGTTTTTCAACGGCTTTTTAGTCGTAGCGCCATCTATGAGAAATCTTTGAAAGATTTTTTGTCAACCGTGACCATGGGACCTGTCCCAAAGGGCCCGAAACGTTGGTTTGTTCGAAAAAACAAATATACGCGATTTACATCCGGAAAAATAGTTTCATTTCCTATGTGTAACAATCGCGAAAACCTAAGAACTCGAAATTGTTTAAGTGTCTATAATAAACTATACATAACATATAAATTGAAATTTTTTTTTTTTGCGGGAAGTGAGTTTTTCATCGATTCTGAGAAAGATCTCTTTTTGAGTTAATACACTATTTGTTGTATTAACAGTGCGATTTGTTTTATCAAACAAACGTTGCGTAGTCTTTACATGTTCCATGGTCACGACAGACGCGATGGTTTGTTTGTAAAAACAAATATACGCGATTTGCACCCAAAAAAATAGCTCATTCGGTAAATGCGGCAATACTGACCGGATAGATCTGGCAACATAGACAAATGAATGTCTCGGTTTTGCGTGTTACGCGCGAACGTCGACTGTCGCCTTTCATTCTGAGACCGAGCTCGCTTCGCTGTGGTTGCTGTAACAATATAATCATGGTTTTACATTAATAAGTTCACAGTCGTCTCCATAAAGCCACAAATTAGCCCCCTTTACACAGTCACTATATCGCGCGTGGTCGTAGTGCGATTCACGTAAGTTTATTGTTGAAGTTACGTAGTCAGTCCTATCCAAAATGGGTATTCTCGTATCACTTGAACGAACGTTGATATGAGTAGAATCGATACGTAACGACTAATGAACGACTTGGATTGTGAAATTTGACGTTTAGTCGTCGAAATTCTATTGAAAGAACTGTCAAAATTTTTGCAGAATACGTATGACATGTCGTTTAGAGTCGATTTAAGTTCCATTCATATACCAGAATATGCTTTAACGACGTTTGACGTTCACTGTCACACGTGAACACGAAAAAGCAGTTACTACTACTAAATCGCTACGATATCGTAACGGTTTGATTACGTGAATCACCCCCCAGGAGACTTATTGGCGACGATAAGGTCTTATCTAAACTTCATAGTATTAGACGTATGGCGAAGAAGGTGGAGTTGGTATGCACTGTCAAGCAGCGAAAGGTTGCCCATTTGGGTCATGTACTGCGACATGACAGATATCACCGAAGATATAATGACGGGCAAAGTAGCTGGGATGCGGAAGGTTGGAAGAAAGAAAATGTCATGGCTTCGTAGCATCAGGGAGTGGACCGGCGTCAAGACCGTGGAACAACTGTTCAGGCTAGCTCTGGACAAAGAAAGATAAAAAACTGACTGCCGATCTTCAATAATGTGAATCACCCCCCAGGAGCGCACAGGGTTGCGGGAAAGTCTGCACGCGCAATCGTGCGATTGAAGTTTTAGTACGGTAATACACGTCCGATTTCGTGTATAATGGACGGATCCGACTATCGCATCGGATTCACTCAATACACGTCCGATTCTTTCGTCAGACTTTTTCTGAACTAACTGTAGTGTTTGTGGGGAATTCCCCAAATACAGGGAATTTCAACTCAACAACTCGTTTGTGGATTTTGTTTGGTTTACGCTATGTGGGGAAAATGCCCTCGCATTCTATAATTTTATTTTATCTATATATTTAATTATATATAATTTATTTTTATATGTAACTATAATTTACTTTTTCAACATCGCACATGCGCCGCGTATATAGCAACATTTATATAGAATTATTAGCAAACCGCTTATATGTATAAAATTATCCAGTAGGATTAGAATCACTTTGTCTTGAATTGTAAAATTACTACTATTATCAGTGACCGACAAGAGCCCGGCTCTTAAATAGGATGATGATGATCAGTTGGTGCGTGTTGAGCGCGCGACCCTTCCTCGTTTTGACCGGTCCCCGGTGTGAAAAAAGGATACAGCTCTTGCCGAACAAAGCAGAGCAGTAGGTATTTTAAATGACTATGCACACAAATCAGGGCCGTGCCCGGGCGTGCTAGTTTGTATGAACTGCGGGTTCGTCCCACAGCGCCGGGCGGACACGGACATGTGTGAACGAGTTCGTACAAAATAAACGCAACCATATTTTTTGAGCCCCTGACAGAGCACGGCCCGTCCACGTCCCGGTCACGGCCCAGATTTGTATGGATAGACCTTAATACCACAACTTGCCACTCGTCAAGCTCAAATATTAAGGTTCAAACTTAATTCAACTTGTTGAGTTTATTTCTAATTATAGCATAACGTATATGTAACAGATGGGCATAATTGACGTTCTTAATTATTTGATATATTTTTAAGCGTAACAATAATTTTGAATAATTTGCATTAGCAACGCTGCAAATCGGAGGGAAGAATAGGACATGTATTTTGTCTCCCCGCAAAAGTGTAGAGTGCGCCGTCAGACAATCGGGTAATAAAATCGGACGCTATTTCCGACTCGGATGTATTGAGTGTTCCTACAATTATATGGTACGAGCGCCTTCCAGTAGTCGGATCAGACTATCGGATGGAAAAAACGGACGTGTATTGTCGCACTTAAGCGTCGATGACCTTGAGCGATCGATGTTTTAAGCCGCGTCTACTTTATTACAATTATGAAATGAATTAGCTAGCTAGGTGCAGTGCCGACGACATAGGTTCATCCAGTAACGCGTCTCAGCTATCACTGCCGAACTTCGTATACGTAAAAGAGAAGAAACTACCAACAGTTTGCGCGCGTTTCAAAAGAGGGTTTATTTCCAAAATTAGGTTCAAAATGTAAAAAACAAAACAACCACGGTTTTCATTATTGGATAATACCTTATTTTTCAAAGTTTTACCAATTTTACTTGGTATATTACGGATATATTTGCGTCGATAGCGTAGAATCAACTCATCCGTACAACAAAGATCTACCTACGTGCAAGACTACTTGTTCTCAGGACATAGTATACTTCGTTCGTTTTTTCCACTGCCACAAATTGAACAGATCTTGCCAAAAACGCTTTAAAGTGAAGCGTTATTGACGGAATTCAGCGTCTTAAGCTGATGTTCTTTCGCGCGCGATTGTTCGTGTTCGCTTTTGTTACAATGAAAGAGCGAAAGGCTAATAGCGCAAGATAGACCACGTGAAACTGGCGCGTGTGGGAGTGCGCGACTGATGAGTCTTTTTTTTTTATTGCTGTATCACGCGCGATAGTGTCTGTGTAAAGCCTGCTATTATTTAACGCGCAATGTATACTCGTAAATAGCATAGTAAAACAAACTCAGTACAGAGTACTAAAAAAAACTGACCTCAAAAGTCAATCATCCCCTAGTTTGCCACCCTTAGAAGCGGAATATTTTCTTCAAATTTAAATGGGACCACTCCTGAGGTACCCGCTTTCCAACAAAAAAGAATCATCAAAATTGGTTCACAAGTTATCGAGTAACATACATACAAAAAAAACATACAGTCGAATTGAGAACCTCCTCCTTTTTTTGAAGTCAGTTAATAAGAGAAGTATGATAACTCCGTACAAAGTAACAGCGCGGCTTGTATGTGTGTACGTGTACGGACGCACACATTCGCATAATAATGAAAGGCGCGGCGAGACGACCAGTGTAGGGCAACGCGAGTGATTTGAGAATTTTGTTTCAATTACTTAAAATATACTTACTATTCCTAGCTTGTTTAGACGGCAGTAATGTAGCCAAGCTTGTAGCATCTGCTCTATGCAAGTTGTCAAACAGTTCCTGTTCCGCTCCGGGGTATAGTTCTTGGTAGAACTCCCCCGTGGCTTCCTCCCAACCTGCTGTTTTGGAGGATCGGGCCTTATTCTTCGAATTGCCTCCTGACATCTTTAGATTTCCATATTAACCTATGGACAAAGTTAAAATTGTGAATAATAAGTATAAGATAAAACTAAACACAAACATACGACACAAGCACATAGAAAAATTCGTTAGCTTCGCTGGTTCGTTCCGTGGCTTAGTTAGTACGGCGTGCGACACGGTGTGCTAGATGACGTCGGTTCGAATCCGGCCGGATCGAAGGAAATTTTTCTGAGTGTTCGATCTTTGTATTAATAATTATAACAAGTAAAAGGTTTTCATAGTGGGTACTTGATGATTAGTAGGATCAATTTGAAAAATGAGCTTTTATAAATTGTTTCTGGTCTTGCTGGTCTAGGTAGTGAATTGTAGTGGCATGTACTCATGTAACCCTAGTCTGAGATTAATAAATTAATCTCTGGCACTTTATAGACACTGTTCTGCCCCCGTAGCATGGCTACGCATGATAGCCGCGACGCGCGCGTTAAAATTGAAATAAGCGTGCCCTATTGGTTATCTGAATTAGATATGGTTGAGACAGCCAATAACGCGCGCTTATTTCATTTTATCGCGCGCGTCGCGACTGTCATGCGTAGCCATACTACGAGGGCTGGATAACACAATTTTATCCTGTATCATAGGTTGCCAAACTTTTTGGTTCACCGGCCACTTAGGCAATAAAAAAAATTTGCGTGTAATTTTTGTTTTCATTAAAATTTGTTGAATACATACTTTATGAAATTTTTAGTTTATCGCTCCTGGCGGAGGTTGAACAACAGACAATTCTGACTTTGGAGGCTGCTGCTTTAAAGAGCAAGGTGGTACTGCAGCTGAACCATTACCTCAAATTGTTTAGCCAGGAGTGTCGCCTTCCACGGACACTTCGTTTTCCAGCGAATATCCTCTGGATGACGAACTAAAGTAATGTTCCTCATGACGATTACACTACTAATTGCTCCCTAAATACTGGCAGCATTCTTACACTTTCTACTACTAATTTTGGAAAAGAATGCTCGCAACTGACGATACAACCCTGAGAGCAGTATGTGACACGTCTTTCGACATCTCTATTTTTAGCATACTGGATGTCTGTCTACCGCATCGAGTACATAACCAGAAATAGAGACGACATAAGGGCCATCCATCCCTGGCAACTCATTAGGCAAATGGGCCTTATGTCACTTTTAAATATCAACTCTCGTTTGCGCTGAAATCACAAATTAGAAAGCTGAAATAGTACAGCACCGACAACTGACCTGTGTGTATGTCTCCGTATATTCCAAAAATATTCTGTATTTATTGTAATAAAGATAATATCTCTAACAATAGGAGGCTGTTCCATTCGGTAGTGTGGGGAAAAACAGCAAAAGATCTAATTACAAAACAAACGGAAACCATTTCATCATAATTTTTAATTTTTCGTCCATTATAGAAAAGTTCAAGTTAAACTGGTCGATTTGAAGTGAAACAATTGACGATCCGTCAATTGTTTCGATACCGTCACCGTAATGATTTGGCAGAATAGTTTTTAAGCAAACTAAACGACATTTCGTATCTATTTCTGGCTATATACTCGATGGTCCACCGAGAAGTGAATCGTAAATGACAATTGCCCGTTTATGTATTATTTTATTTTGGGTCATATTTTATTTTATTGCATCTTATAATTTATTCTGTATTATCTAAGGTTTATTAATATTTGTGTGAATAGGTACTCAAACTGTTTTGTTTTTCAAATGCCTGAATAAAGAATTTAATTATTATTATTAGTACACTGGGATGGCAATGATTTAGCCCAACATTAATACCATTTCATATCTTGGAAGCAGATGAAAATAACTAGATTATCTGAATTTGCACAACACCTCTAATTAACTGTAAAGTTCAATGCCCGCAATGACTAAATCTCAAACTTAAATAATCAATCTTTGAATTTCCTTAGGATTAAAGAGAACTCATTGTGTGAATGCGGTCTAGACAAAGGAAACGTGGACTATATATTTTTTGACTGCCCTAAATTACGGTGTTCCCTATATGGCATCCTCCCTCCCTCTATCCCTCGTCCTACTTCCTTCAAAATGCCCTTTTGGCCCATACATGTTAATCATATTAAACTGTAAATATTATTCATGCACTAACACTATATCGAACATACATATACACATGTTTCTAACGACTTGTGTTGTCTAATTTGTACCGTCTCTTTTGTTCTAAAATTCAATTTTGCAAAAACTCTTCGATTTTCCCTCCGAGTCACCGAACAAAATTCTAACACACCCTCCATAACGTTTATGAAACTAGAAAACTGACACTGCCAGAATTGAGTCTCACAAGCCATTCATTAAGAAAAAAAATCTTTATTTCATAGATAAGTATATTTCACTTAAATTCGTCACATTGTTTTAACTTTAACTTATTCATAAGGCAAATTCACCTGAGACGAATGAGTAGCCAACTCTAGGGTTTACTTTCTTTTTTTTTGTGTTGAAAATGTGTTCCATGTTCAATGGAGTATAGAGTGTGTCCTTCAGCATGGACATCTACTTGGACAATAGTAAATGTGAAACGGTCTCTGCGACACAAACCTAGCCTGTAATTAGTGCTGAGGACGCAAGTAAAAATGCGAAATAACTAATGAATAATTATGCAATTGCCTAGTTTACTATGGAACTTCAATGATCTATATTATTTATTAATATGTAGAGACAATAAATGATTTATTATTATTATCTCCTCTTGGAATTTCCCTCTCTTAACAGAATATCAAATCAATTGTTTTACTACAGCTTTGAGTCACAAGCTGTAATGCCAGAGCATTAATGCTTCTCCAGCCTATCCCGGAATGTTTCAAATGAAGTGGATAGCACACGCATGCAAAAATATATATAATGGTAATCTGGTAACATTAGTGAATAAGTCATCCGGTGTCATATATTGTTGTTGTCACAATTTTGGTGGTCTACAATTCTTTTTTGATTATTTATAAAAAAATTATTAATAATTTACCCCCTCGAAGCTGGAAATGCTCTTAAAGAAATATAAAGAGTTCTGAATATATAACATAACTAAGTAGGTACAAGTGAGAAGGTATTCCTCCTTATGATTACATTTTAACTTAATTTCATGTAATATCATTTAATAGCGTTTTTTAAAATTTTACTTTGATTGTTTGCTATGACTTAACATGTTCAGACCGTTGCTGGTCCATCAGGCGTAGTGTACCACCAGTGGTTACACAACACCTTAGGTTGTACGTATTTATTTTCTCGGAGCCCTCTGGTCTTAGATTTATTAGACACTGGAATTTTATATTTATTACTACCATAATTTTATTGTTCTAATGCTATTTGATACTTTGCTTTCAAATCACATGGTTGTATTTTACAGTAATATTTACTAAATTTTTAATTAACCAACCTTGTTTGCAGGTTTTTAACACATGCAAATTTCAATACACCCTTAAGTTTACAAAGATTCATGTCTTATATGTGATGCATTCAGATGTTGTTTGTACCTCAGAATGTACCACATACAAATGCATGTGCAGGGTACGTAGTATTCATATTTATTACAGAACAGACAACATTCAGTAAGCTCTTTAACCCTGACTGGTTGACTTATGATTGACAAACATTGTAAACTCTATAGCATATTCATAAAACAAATATGTGCACAGTATTGGGACAATAAATGGATATTGATACCAAGTTGCTATACAAATAAAATTTTACGCACTCAACATTGTAAGTGCAAACCATTTGATAACAAATTGATGGTTTTCACACGATAAAATTATCAGTGATTCTTTTCAACAACCCTATTAAAACTGATAACTAAGTCTATCAAACATTATTTTATCGTAAACATGTAACGAGTTCTTAGGTTTTCGCAATTGCTACACTAGGAAGTAGAACTATTTTTTCGGATCTAAATCGTGTATGTTTGTTTTTCAGACATACCAGCTTTTCGGGCTCTTTACGTCACGACTGACCATGGCTGTTGTCAGAACAATTTGTTGTGTTGAAAAAACAAATACTTGTACGAAAATATAGTTTCATTTCCAGTAAACAAATAAACTAACGAATCCTTAGCATTAATAGGAGTAATCATCTAATCGTGACTAATAAAATAAAACTGTAACAGTTAACCGTTTGATATGTTTCAAAATAGAACTTCCGTTTTAAAACAAATAGAAATTCAAAAATGGAATGTGTCTAATTGTAAAGAAAGACGATTGTATGTTTTTATTGTGCGATATTTAGGCCATAAGGGTAACTGTAAACTCACCGCAAAATGTAAGCAATTTTTCTCAACAAATAACACTGAATTTACACTAGAATTGTTATAACGTGAACATTGTTTAGTTATCGTACCACATTTCATTTACTGGAAGCAATTTTTTTTACGTTATTTTACTAAAAGATCGACAAAAACACACGTTCAAAATAGTCTGCAAGGAGTGGTACTGCGTTCATATACTATTTGACAGATTATGTGCTATAATGTCAAACAAATGTCAAGACGAAATAAACAAAAATTTAGTACGCTCTATCCTGGTGAATAAAAGTACCAGCATATTGGAACAATACAAAATAGTTCATTATTTTGTAATGTTTCAATGTGTTGGTTGTGGTCAACATTTTTGCAATAAATACAAACTAAAACTATAAAGTACAAGGTAGAAATTTGTATATGGTATTAGAACGTACCCATGTAATTATGCATATTTGACAATCCATTGTTCTTTGAACTTCGTATGCGGTTAATTAGTGATTATAAGACTCTGTCCTATCCACAGCCAATTAACATACATACACAGTCCGCCATAGTGTAGTGCCCCGATTTCTATTGTAAAGGAAAACAATAAATGTTTTATCGATTAGGACTTGTATGACATCGAAGTCTCGATAAAACCGCTAAATGGTTGGAAGTATAATTTATATTCTATCTCCGAGAAAGTTTAGACGTTTTATATAGGAAATTCAATAGCAACTGAAGCCGAAAAAAATCACTTCGAATTCAATATCCGCAAAACCGCCTGCGAATAACGACCACCCGCCACTCGCGTAAACAAATCTCTGGAAGGAAATTTCTTCATGTAATTTCCGGTTTGGCTCGCTATTGGCTCTATTTCGCGGCTACTTTGAGGTCGGCCAATGAAATCTCGGGGCTGGGTCTGACAGCCAATAGCGTGGAGTTGACGTGAGCAGTGATCCTAATTGGACCAATCTCATTTCCGGTGTCTGTCGCGACGACATCCTGCGCGAAAAGCCCGGGAAAGGGCTGAAAGCGCGTTGACACCTGCGCAGCATCTCCTCGGACGCTGCTCCAAGATCACATCTCGCGAAAAGTAATGATTATTTCGGTCCAGACGTTTAGTTCCACATATTCCCGCGGCGGCGCTGTCCAGCGCTCTCTCTGTGCGACATATTTCGCTATAGAAAATTAGAACGCAATATTCTTTGCGGAATTATCAAATCTAGTGAAATATTTGTAGATATTAAGGTTTTTGGATGGTGTATGTGTTGTTTTAGCAATGTGTCGTGGTGTAGCGATGTTGTAAGTGGTAGAGGAGGACACATCAGTGTCGACCATTTATCTGTGCGATCGCGTCTTAGAGTAATGTATGGGGCTGTGTCCGAGACTTGATTGCTCCTTAAAATGTGTTAAGTGCGAAATTAGACACGTACCTCGCGAGTGACGATATTTTTCATCCACAACATGTCACGGGAGCCAAGTTTATCGACCGATCGTGATTTTTGGAAACAGGCCATATTTCAATATGTAGAACACTGTGCGAGGTTCGTGATAGGATAATCGCGGCTAATTCCGTCTTGTTAATGGTGAATTGCGAGAGACTTGAGGCCTTTTGTTATGAGCCTGACGTCGAGGAATAACATCTTAGTGACATCGCATAATGTTGAAATCGTTAAGAACGCCCGCTCCGAGCGGCCTTCCCTTGCTAATCTGAAAATCAGATACTAATGGCGTTTGGGAAACTCCTTATAACATTGGCCGTGATCGCTCTCGTACTCGGCGATTACCAGCATGAAGTCCAAACAAAAAATAAAACGAAGAAGACCGTGGCGCCGGAAAAGGGACAAAAATCAAGATCCGCTAATCCTACGCGGGACAGAGGTTTGTTCCAGAAACTGAACAACCTGCGAAACCGAACCGACCGGACAGATCGACAACAAAGCAAAGACAACCTCTTGAAAATCCACCAACTGAATCTTAAACACCGGAACATGAACGACGACATGATGAACGACAATGAAGGGGCAATAGCTATCAACCAAAAGACAATAGGTGACAATGACACCAACTCGTTAACGGACAAAATGAAAAAACTGCGCAAGAACGGTCCCAAAAACGACTACATTCCTGATAATAAGAACTCTTACGTTCCTCAAGTGACAGGAGTGTTTTGTAACTTTGAGAAACTAAATGACTCTGAGGTAGACATGTGCATGTGGACTTGGAACAGTACTGTGTCGAACCACGGGCTCGGGTTCAGGGTTGTAACTGCGGCTGAGATCGTGGAGATGAATGAGACGACAAGGGGAATGAAGTTTTCGGGGCCGCAAACTGATGCCGACAACAATGTCGAAGGTGAGGGCTGTGCTTTTGGTGTTGTATTGGTTGGTTAATCTGGTTTAAACGTATGACTGTGCGTCTCTGTATTTGAAAAAAAAAACCGACCTCAAAAATATTGAAATCGGTAACCGGAAAGTGCGCGACAGCAGATTCATACCCTAATTTTCCACCCTTAGAGGTGGAATATTCTCTTTAAATTTAAATGGGACCAATATTGAGGTACCCTCTTTCCAACAAAAAGAATCATCAAAATCGGTTCACAAATGAGTTATCGCGTAATATACAAAAAGAAATACAGTCGAATTTAGAACCTCCGCCTTTTTTTGAAGTCGGTTAAAAAACCTTTTTTTTTTAATAGACAAAAAAATATTTAATCTTTTTGCACAATACAATTATGTACAAATGGCCGACTTAATGCCATAAGGCATTCTCTACCAGTCAACCATTGGGCCAAACAGGAAAAAAAATGTCTTAGCCAAAATTTAATGGTTTATTTATACGGTATAAAATGAACTAATACAGAAAACACACTTAATATACTTATACATATAATAAACAATACATACATCTCAAATTTACACCCTGTATATTAATACAGGGTGTAAATTTGAGATGGGGCAGTAAGGCCAGCCACTTTAGTGGTTGTAGTTACAGGAAAACGGTTCTAGAAGACTATCCATGAATTTCGAAGATAATTTGATTGGCATTCAGAGATTTTGAAAAAATGGTTCAGTCAGCAAGATAAAAGGCCATCGTGAATGCCAATCAAAATATCTTCAAAATTCATGGATAGTCTTCTAGAACTGATTTCCTGTAACTACAAGGTTTAAGGTGACTGACCTTGCTGACCCGTCTCAAATTTACACCCTGTATATGCCTAATATGTATATACATATAAACATAATGTTATTTAATAATATATAAGTACCCATAGCAACATTATGCATTGTCTTGATTAGAAGATTGTCAAAGCGTAATTGCGCAACATGCGCGTGAAAGATAACTGAGGGTCGTATTCCAGAACTCTGCTCAAGTCAGGACTTTAGTAAGATTTAAAGCACTAGAAATCATACTCAAGTCCTTGCCATTAGGGTCGTATTTCCAGTGCTGGTAAGGGGTGATGTGGTGGACGGAAAATTCTTGCCTAGAAAGTTCCTATTCAATTATTTACAAATTGAAAATAAATTGAACATTTTATATGTTCATTACTTTAACGACGTAACAACATGAATTTAACGTTGTTAGGGATAGTTTCAACGTTGAGCTAAATACAGTAGATACGCACTTAAACTTTCAGGAAAACTAAAAGGAAACCCATTTATTTAATAAAACATTTCCTTTCAAAAATAATAACAAATAATAGCGATTATGCCTCCTCTCACAATAAGAGGGCTTGAGCTATAGTACCCACGCGGGCCTAATTTAGGATTGGGAACTTCAGACTTATCCTGAAATTGCTTTGCAGATGTGTGTAGGTTCCCTAATGATGTTTTCATTCTTGGAAATTTCAAATAAAATTTCGCACATAAAAACAATACTCAGAGGTGTAGGCTTTGATTCAAACCCACTAGTTTTGAGATATCCTATGCTTTAAAGACGGTAGGTAGGCCAAACCATTAGGGTACCACGTCTTTTAATAATCATAAAAAAAAACTCGCTCCACGTGTTTGTTTTGTCTATTAATTAACAATTCCTTCCACGTATTGTTTTCAGTCACAAAATGTCAATATACAAATGCGTTATATAATTCGAAAGTAAAACTACCTAGAAAATGTTATTTATTGTACGGCTTCTGCGTATTCGAACGACAAAAATCCATGGCAGTCATCCGTTTAGCTGTTTTCAGTTGTTTTTCCTATGACATATTTACAATCTCCTTCTTATCGTATCGTAACTGATTGTTTGTTGCCCAGGGTGCGTCAGTTATACAGGAAAATAATGAAATATCGTGCGGGGAGGCTCCTTTCGTGCACCCTGTTTACAATTACACCACATATTTACCAGTAGAGCTCCTTGTCGAAGAGTTCATCCACAGTTCATTTCAGCTTTTTCCGCTTGGGTGCTGGTAAAATTACAGGAACATGGGATTTGTCAAGTTACGTCTCAGGGTGACAGACGCATTTAAAGCTCTGAGTGGCACTGCAACTGCCATGAACAGGGTGTGTCGTTTACCACGAGGCGTGCGACTCGTTCGTCCCGTTATTTGGCTTCATAAAAAAACAATATTGTTAATAATATCATAGCTAAATTTATGTTGTTGTCAATTCTTCAAAGCTCTAAAAATAAATCTCGACGAAGTATAACATAACGAAATTAACGTATGGAGTGAGCTTTAAAATTAAGCTCGTTTGCCTTTGCCTGAATTGACACTATTTGAAACTAATAATTCACTAAATATGTGTGACAAAAAACATTATAGAAATAATGTTATAATTATTAATACAAAGATCGAACTCTTACAAAAAATTCCTTCGATCCGACCGGATTCGAACCGATGTCTTTTAGCAAACCGTACCAGACGCTATGCCAATTTTTCCATGTGCTCGTTTGTCGGATCTTTTGTATTTGGTTTTCAACGACTTTTTAGCCGTAGCGCCATCTATGAGAAATCTATCAAAGTATTTCGTCACCCAGTTAGGTAACTTTATAGATTTAATGCATGGATTTTAAAAGTTTTAACGAATGTAATGTATTAAACGTAATATATTGAATATTGTATAGATTTGAACTTAAAAACTTTATCATATAAATTTGTATTGAATTGACATCCAATTGTTTTTCGTGAAATTACTCTATTAGTTTGTTATAATTATTAATACAAAGATCAGATGATTAATAATTAAAACAAACTAATGGCGTAATTTCACAAAAAAGATTTGGAAATCAATTCAATACAAATGTATAGGATAATGTTTTTACGTTCAAATCATAAATCTATTCAATATTCAATTAATTGTATTCGTTAAAACCTTTAAAATCCATGCCTATTGCCTATTGAGTACCAGTATAATATTGTTTTTCCATTGTCTGAAATAATAATAATAATAATAACGCACACACTCAACATAGCCCCGCACCATGTCTCGCGGGTGCCATGGACACACACATAGACAACTGGGACCTCTGCGTGGCAGTCCGGCACGGTAACCGTTCGGCCACGAAGACAGCTCTCCGCAGAAATTCTCGAAGAAGAATCAATCACCTAACCTAGCCATTATTTTTATCATAAAAATATCAAGAGTGGCGTCAATAAAAATCATATTACCTTAACATTTAAGTTTTCGATAACTATACCTAGATAAAACGGTCTTTTAGACTATTTTATAGTATATCTAGCTTATTGTTAGCAATTCGGTTGAATGAAATTTCGATAAAAAAAATTGAATTTATTTTCAGGTGTAACAGAATATTATTCTCATGATACGAAAATTAAAAATAATATATAAAGATTACCATTCACTAGCGAATATGTCTAGCTCTGTTAGCCGTCGGGGTAGCTAACATGTTCGCCATGTCGATAAATCTGTCAGTTCAATTTATTAGGACGCATTTACACCTAGACGTCAGGCGATTGTCGCTTGCGGAAGTAATGAGTGAGGCTCAATTTATATTACGGCGGAACGGAATGGAAGCGAATTTTTGTAACGATATTGTAAATAATGAACCTTATGGTCAATTGTGTAACGTACAAACTAGATACGAGACAAAATCTTCCGCTAGCATTTTCGAATTTTGGAGTTAGTAGTTTGCAGTACTGAGTAGGTAGTCTGTTGCCGAAGTCGACCGAAGGACTGGGTGCGTCGCCTGCTGGGTGAGTTGGCGATGCGCGACTTTGAATATTACTAATACTAAACATTTGAATGGGCAAATTATTCGCTTATGGCGAATCCAAGCATAATCATTCGACTCAAGTCGAACGCCCCTGCCATTCGGTCGGGTGCACAAGTTGAATAAACTCCACCAGATCATTCACTATGCCCATCAAAATGTCCCTGTCCCCGACACATTTACAGTATTTACCATATGTCAGAGAGGGCGAGGTGATCACGAGTATCATTGTGCTCTATGGAATCTATGGATTAGTAATGAATGATCATTCAGATCATTCGAATCATTGCCTTACAATTATATGGACGTCGGGTCCGCGCCAAAAAATGTCCGCACTTGTAAGGCGCTAAAATCGTATACAGAGCGCCACACTCCGCTTTAGTCTTCATTTGTTCGACTGACAGCGCGATACTGCGATGACATTACAATTTAAATTTCGAATAGGTTGACTTGGGACATTTTTTTCGTGGTTTTTGTATTAGACCCGTCGTCCATTTATTTGTAAGTCAATGATTCGAATACGAAAATTAGGAGGTTACTAATTTGTCATTCGAATGACAGGATTGGTACCAATATTGAGTCGAATATCGAAATCCTTTGCAATCGCGCATCGCTATGGCGAAACGGCTGCGTCGCCTTCAGCAGGCGAAGTAGTCTGCCGAAGGTCGGCAGGCGACCGGGTGTAAATGCGCCATTAGATGATAACCTCTATAATCGCAAAAAAAACAGCTTCACACATTTATGTCGAGTAAATTCAATATTTCTATTACAAATGAAGACTTGGTTTCTGAAAATACATAAGTCTTTGCTGTACGGTCCTTCTCTAGAAATAAATTAAAAAATTTAAAAAATAAAATCAAGTATTTCCTTAATGTTAGGAATTTTCCTAAAATTACCAAAATAAAAATTGGCTAAGATTTGGCTGTATGGTTTTAATTTTAAGCTTTTGCCTTAGCGGAAAGAATTTAAAAATCGAATACCACGAAATAGTTAATTTGTTTTCGCGATTCAAAACATGATAACAGTAAATAATTGGTTGGGTTTTTGTACTCATCGAGTATATAACCAGAAACAGAGACGAAATAAGGGCCATACATTGCTGGTAACTCATCAGTGATACATCACTTATAAATATAAATTCTCATTTGCACTGAAATATAGACAGCCACCAACAACTGACCTGATTG